TATTATGGAGAAGTCCCACTACAACTCTTACTGTGTATCTTATCTGGTTCTATCATTTGACAAGAACTTGGGGACATAGTATTCATTTAAAAATTGTGACTCACCTTTTGGGACAAACTGTTAAAAACACACAAGGCAAATGAAAGAAAACTCATATCTACAGTGTGTTTTGTAGATATTACATTCACTGTTCCCTTTCCTGCCACACAAAGACCGGTGTCCTGCTAGAAAGACCTCCCTCAACCCCTCTGCAGTGCTGATGTCCCTGAGCAGGTGCCCAGCTCTCCTTGCCCCTGTTCTATTGCTCCAGTTTTTAACCTGAAGGTAAAAAGCATGAGCTGTTTCTAGTACATGAATGATCATGAGATGAGTTCATATAGAGCAAAATCTGCTGCTGCAGGCAGACATCTGAACCATTTAATCTTTACTTTGCCACCCAAATTGATAGAGCTCAGGGAAAATCAATATACCCAGGAGAAGGCAAATGAAATAAGAGAGGCCACCTCTATCCTTTTTGAGCATTGGAATATTTCTTTCTTTCTACTTTTTTTTTTTTTAAAGAGTGATCTTGAGCCAATCTTTAAGTCACATGGCCATAGTTCTTCAAGTAAGAGTCTTTAGAATTTATATTTTTAGCCCCTATTCTGCCACTTCTCCATCCCACTCCCTTTATATATGTAATATGAGAAAGACTTACCTGGGAGTCCAGGTGAGTGTGTTTGTGTGTGTATGTGTGTGCGCGCACTTGTGTGCATGAGAGAGAGAGAGAGAGAGAGAGAGAGAGAGAGAGAGAGAGAGAGAGAGAGATGAGAGAGCTGTTTTCTAATGAATGGGAAAAATATCAGTCCAACAACCAAAGACAAATTGGAGTGAAATATCAGAGAAGATTTGGAAGAAGTAGGTGGAATGTATGCATCCAAGCTTCCTGCTAATCATAAGCAGGAACATTTCTGGGGATCTGGGATTTAGTCTGTCATCATGCACAGGCCATATTAATCTTCCCCTTAATTCATCTGGCTGAATTTCAGTTTGCCATTACTTCCTCTAGAAAGCCTTCCTAAGCCCCCAAATTGAGGCGATCTTTTTTTTTTTTGTCGTTGTTGTTTTTCCCCCCCCCGTGGGCCTATATCATTTATTTCATGCCTCTGTTAGTCACATGTTACTGCATATGTTTATCTAGCATTTTGATATTCAAGGAATTTAAGAAATGCTATAGCATACATTAGCACAGAATACATGAAAGGCACAAGACATCCTGAAATAAAGAAAACTGTTTAGCTGTTTTAAACTTAGAATTTCCCCAGTTTATCTGACCATATACTGTCCTTCTTCCTTCATATAAAGATTAGTATCCACAAAAACTGGTATTCTGAGGAAGAGCATTTTAGAAAAGTTGGTTTCCATATTTCTTTGAGGTTGGTGACTATTTTCACATCACCAAAGTATGCAAGAATGCCTGAAATATATAAACTGAATTATCAATAAAGAAGCCTCTTTCTGATGTCCAGGCTCTGCTTGGCCTGACTATGCAATTCTGTGTGCAGCAGAAAGGGCAATGGGAGCTCTCTTTAGGCTTCTTCCCTTCAGCCCTAGGATCAGCTGCTTCTTTTCCCCTCAAAATTGACATTAGGGGACTGAGCAATGCCAGTAGGCAAAGTCACCTGCTTTGGGGAGGTGCTTTAAAATAGCCAAGGAGGAAAAGATGGGAAAATGAAGAGGGGGAGGAGGAATGGAGAGAGGAAGCAAGAGATGGAGATAGAGGCAAGTTCAGTGGAGGGGTGACAGTCCCCTATCAGCAAGTCTTTGTGCTCCTCAGGGATGAGAATGCCACTATGCTTTCTGATCAAGATATTAGATATCTTGATATCCTCTTTTTCTCACCCCTTACTCCCTTTAGTTCTTTTTTTTTTTTCCTAATGTCAAGTGCAATGTGCTTATAGGTATTCAGGAGAGATGGAATACATTTTTGAAATAGATCTCAGTGGGTGGTGAATTTGGGGATTTTGATGTATATAGCATTAGGCAAAGAGGAAAGAGTAAAATTCTAGAACTCAAAAGCATCTTGGAGAACACTGAATTCAACTGCCTCATTTGCAAACAGGCTGTTGGAGACTAAGAAGTCAAGGGATTGCTCAAGGTCATACAGTGCTCTAACGACTAGGCCTGGAGCACAAGCACTCTGACTCCCAGCCTAGTGTGCTTTCCGTAGCCCTCATTGACACAAATATGACCAGAATGTTCTGTGGCCAGAAAATAAGCACCAGGACTATTAAATTCTTTAAAGGATGGATTGTATTCAGGTCATAGAGTCAAATGGATGATTTGACACTAGACAGTTGGTCTGTTGTTTCTCCAAAGAAATATATATTAATTCTGAGCTGGGAGAAGGATTGAGGATTAAAAAATGGTGCATTGAATAAGTAATCACTAAGCCAAGGCATTGGTCACCCAGAGGGTTTGACTTAGGACCTAATCTTTAAGTAATTTGTGAAAGGTCTCGAACATGTCCCTGTTATTTGAAATTGCACTTTTGTGTAGCTGTGATAACAAAATGAAAAATGATTCCAATCTTAATCTACTCGTTTTTCAAGATCCTTTCTACTCCTTGTACTAGATTATTCAGATATGACAGAAAAACAATATCAAAACAGGGCTATTTCCATACATGAAGAAAAAGTCATCTGAAAAAGAAAAGCTTTTTCAAAACTGTGAGAAATGTTAGTTGCTTTTTTCCTTTAGACATAGGTTTAAAGGAATGGCATTTTGCTACGTTGAGTTAACCCAATCATCCATGCAGATTTGTGGACCACTCTGCCATGACAGATTTTCCTTTTACAGATTATCCTTTACGCAGAACACTCATTTACATCCTGGCAAGGGCATAGACAGAGATGAGCTGTGTGTCTTTAGGGCCAAAGTATGGACCACACATAGGAAAACCCAATCTTTTGTCATTGTTTCAAAAGTGCTAAATGTTATTTTTAAAAGTAAGAAGTAAAACGTTTTTCCTTTTATCTCAGTGCCTTACATAAGTGAGCCTAGCTATATCTAAAGAAACAGTTTCTAGGGCACTCTTTTGAAATCTTGTTCTGGGTGTTTGTCCTCTGCCTTCTGAGACACCCTCCTTCAGGTTGATCTACCTAAATATACCTAAAAATAGGGAGGGATCTCTCCCCTGTTCACAGACCTCCAATTGTCAATAGAATGAACGTGAAATCCCCTTCCTGGCATTCAAGGCCTTTTAGAATTGGCCCCTACACTGCTTTCTCAGTCTTGTCTTTCTCCCGTTTATTCCTTGTAGTTGACATTACCGTTGTTGCTCCTGCAAGCTCGTCTCTGCCTGTCAAAATCACACCCACCCTTCAAATGCAGTTTACTTCCTTATCATGACTTAGATGCCATCCAAGCAGTGAGGGATTTATCTCTGTATTCTAGCACCTCTCTTTTTTTGGTGCGGGGGAGAGGACCACTCTTACAGCACTGGACATACAACCTGGCGTGACCATTCATTTGTGGTAGAACTCTCCTTCTCTTTCTTGAATGCATATTCCTGGCAGCTGGGAAGATGCCTGGAAAACCATCATTTTGTCATTTTCCTTATAGTACTAATAGTAAAGGTAAAATAGATGAAAATCCAAATCTAAAGTCGGGGTTGTCTTAAACAGACAATCCCCATAAGACTCCAGTATTTTTACATGGTTACTTACAAGTATTTGTTGTAAGAAGCCTAGATGTTGGGGGTGAGAGAAGGAAACTTGTTAAATAAAGCTACAAAGTAGATATTGGTCAGTTTTTAAAATCAGCCCATATAGTGTTTTTTTTTTTAAAGAAAATATTCACCAATTTTTAAAAATTTGAGAAATCTCACATAAAAATCCTTTCTTCCCGATGTCTTGAAAAATAAAAGGATCTGGCAACCTGGGCTTGCATCCTCTTTGCTCTTTAGTCCTCACCCGGCCCACACATCACTTATTATTATATCTTCCTGGATACTGAATCTGAAACTCTAGATATGAAGAAGGACTTAGAATGAAAGCAAAGAGAATAATAAGGTCAAAATGAAGATTGTCCAGAGTCAAGGTAAGCTGCAGCATGGGCACCTTAGAAAAGAAGTTGGACACATGCTTAAAAATATTCAGATGAAAAAAGGAAATTCAGATTTAAAAAAAAAAGGAAAAAAAGGTAAAAGAACAAATGCAGATGAAGAGATTCTACAGTGACTGAGAGAAAACAGAAAGGACCATAAAAATTTGTCATGTCTTCAGGCCTGGGCACATGCTGTTGTCATGAGCAATTTATTGGGGAGTGAATAGATCACCTCAGTATTCAGATAGAAAATGCCACTGTTCACAGCAGAACCAAAATTCCTGTTCTTGCTTTGGTTGAAAAGCCAACCACCAGAATCTTCTCACTTTTTTGGAGAAGACCTTAGAGTTGAGGATGGAAATTTCTGGCAACTGAAGGGAAACTTAAACTCTTCCAAGTTTTACCAGGGTCCAGGGGAGAGCAGTGATAACCCACAAAAATAAACCCTTGTCCTGATCCAGTCCTCTGATGATAATCTCAGCTTACTTAGCCACCAGGGGGCCCTGTTGCACACCACATTCAGCATTAATCACCAGTATTGGCTCACCTCACTGTCATTTGGGAAGTTCTTTCATCCTTCTATCTATTTTTAGTGAAAAGGAACCTGGGATTATTTCAACCTTGTCTTTAAAAACAAGGACTATTAAACAACAAATAGATAAGAAAATAAAACATAATGGAAATGTGAAAATCGCAAGACCAGGTCACTGGGGGGGGGGGGGGCTTTTTCTTGGTTGTGGAGCCCATGCCTACAGATGGTCTCTATCTAACTCTGTATTCTACCCTACTCTTCCATCAGGGCCCCCAGTACCTAGTCTGCTGATAGAAGCCAGAGTCAGGTCAATGCAGTGGGTGGGAAGAGATGGCAGAAAAATTCGCCCAGGGGAAAAGGACTCCATATTTCTCCTGCTCACCCAGTTCATTCTTGAAGGTGTGATCCTGTGGGAGAATGGAGTGGGAGTTCCGAATAGTTCCTCCTCCAACAAACCAGTTCACATTGGGATTCCAGCGGTTCACAAAGCCACAGAGATGATTTTCTTCAAAGTCACACTCTGGTCAAAGAGAAATAAAAACGTGTGTCATGAACACATAGTCATACTTGGGCATGCCCATACTGCAGAGTTGGCCTGATACATTCCTCTGCTCCCTGGAACATTTGTACCAGGACTCCATGACAATATTAGCCAAGAAGCAAGAACTTACAGTGAATGAAGACTCTAACTCATCCCTGCCACTTTGAATTGTGGACCTTCCATTTACTAGCTAGGGGGTTTGCTGAATGACCTCTCTTAGCCTGTTTCTCCACATGTGAACTGGGGAAAATGTTCCCACCACATAGGCTTGTTGTAAGTGTGGCCAGTGCTGGGCATAAGCTGGCCATTTTTGTCAGTCATCTCTGTTAATTAAATAAAATAATTAATTCATTGGCCCCAGGGTTTGAACCTAGGACCCTTCAGCATGTACTCTACCACTGGGTCCACCCCCAGCTGCAGTCATATCTATTTTAATGAATATTTAGGGTTCTGCTCTCAGCTCCAGAAATTTTGTTCATCACCCTTTCTGAATCTGGTGGCCTAGCCCTCTATCCCGTTCTCTACTGATGGTGAACAAAATGCCCAGAACTGAGGGGCATGTTTCCTAGATGCTAAAATCCCCTGTTTTTCTTATTACTAAGAACACAGTCAGGATAGGCAGGGCAGGCATATTCTAGGTTCTGGGCCCCTTCTGCAGCTCCTGAGTGGAGAAGAGAAAGAAAATAAAGAGATCCCTTTAAGTAGCATTCATATGTTTACTATAAATTGTTTCCAATGGACAGACTCCTCCAGTGGGGACAAGAAATTCATAGACAAGTGCCTCTATATGCCCTAATAATCCTGCAATTAAAAATATGAAGCATGATTGTGTTGGCCAACCCCCACGGCCCACCTGCCCTTCTCCACCTGCTCTACTCTGCAGAGGCTGACCTATCTGGACTATATCAATGGGTTCCCATGCTTCCAGGCTTCCAGTTGGATTTGTCTAGTGGAGGATGGAAGGAGCATGACATCAGTGGTTTAGTCTCCTGGCTTTGTCCCTGCCAGGTGGCCATGATCCCTTTACTGAGGGCACAGCCATTGTCTAGTAGCCCTCACCATACAGCTTTTGTCTCCATGTTCTTGTTATTTATTCTCCATTGCCCCCACAGACCTAAATAGGAAAGCAGCCCCTGAGCTACCCAAGTTACTAGTCCCAGGTCAAAGAGTGATCTTTCCTGGTTTCATTTACTTTTCACACATTAGGGTCTTTTGATGAACTCTCCTGATGAGGTTGAGTGTTCCCTCTGTTTCCACTTTCCTGCATGGATCTTAGCTCATGTAGTTGTAAATGTGTTTTTACATTAGCAAACATTTAAAAATTTTAAGATTTATTTTCAACTTTTCCATGGGACAGTCTGCTAACCAATGCCCAACAGCCAGTGCCAAAGGCTACCATAGAAAACAATAAAAAGCAAACTATCCCTCTGTACCAAGTGCTATCCTAAGCATTTTATATGAATTAACTTAATCCCAGAACAGGTCCATGAAGTAAACACTATTATTAATCTCATTTTACAGATGAGGAGCCAAGAGAAGAGGTACAAAGAGAGTGACATAAAGTTTAATGAGATAAAATAGTGTCATCTCTTGTGTTTAAAAAAAAAACCAGGAGGCCACCAAATCATTTGAAGAAAAGCAACATACATTTCTTCTTGAGTGCCTAGCACTACACCAATGGCCTCACATTCATGATCTCATTTTTATCCCCATTTTACCAGTGATAAAAACAGAGGCTGAGGGTGCATTGAGTTGGAAAAACCAGCAGGTGGCGCTCAACAGGTGAGTCTGCTGGTCTCTGTAGTCCAAGCCCCAGGCTGACTGGCAGGGGATGCTGCCTGGATGGAGACTCAAGGAAAGGAGCCTGGGACTAAATTCTCTTTATCTTCAGAAAGGACTCACTTTCCCAGTCTGTTTTCCTTCCGTTGCTTTAGAAATGTCATTTAAGTTTAAAATGGAGAAGTGGGAGACTTTGGGGAATTAGTGAAGGCTTCACTCCTTTCCCCTGCATGTTCAAAAAGACTTCGAGAACTATCAGTGCTGAAAAACCTCTCAGTTCTATGAATGTTTTCCTTTCGCACTGCTAACCCCCAATTTAAGACTTCAGTATGTCTCCTTTGTAAGGTCACAATTGCTTCCTGGGGGTTTTGCCAGCTCCTACAGGCTTTGCTTGTCTCCATCTCATTGTCTAAGTGGCAGCCAGAATCATGAACTGAAAATCACAGTTTCACACCCGTGCCCTGCTGACTGACTTTTAGTGTCTCCTAACCAAATAATTTAGTGACTCCAAACTCCTTATCCAGAATCCAGACTCTTCCTTAATGAAATCCCTGAGCAGTACAGATTCTTGCTTCAAACCAACTTCTCTGCCTCTGGCCTTTGCCTGGACATGCCCCATCCTTTCTTCCCTAAGAGATCTGTCCAGAGACAGCTCTTTCCTTCCTCCCAGCACTGCCAAAGTGTGGCTTGTCCTTTTCTGGATATGTTTATTATATATAGAGAGATTGTCCATGGCCAACAAATAAAAGGTAAGCAAACCTTAGGGCAGGGACTGTCCTCTCCTTGCAACCTTTCAGAATCTGGCATTTAAGAGGCTACCCAATGCTGTTCAAGTGGAATCTAAGTGGCCACCATGATTACTAAGATGTGGCACTGTGTGCCAAGACAGGAATGGAGGGAAGGAGGCATACAATGCCTGTTTTTCAGGGAAAGGCTACAAAAAGCAGAATTTACAGCAATCCAGAATTATTTTTATTAGAATATGTTGAGGTTAGGGTGGCAATGCTGAGGTCACCCAGTTGCTGCATCTACTTTTCTTTCATGAATCCAGCCAGTCCAGGCAAATGCTAATAAGCCTTCCTCTGCTGAAGACAGAGAAACAATGTGTAGCATTCAGGGAAACCTAACAGAATTTAAACTACTATGCAGTATGCAGCTTGGTCTTTAGATTGATTTAGTGCTTTCTGGCAACAGTAGATTTTAGAAAAAGATTTGTGTTCTGATGCAATGAAAATGAAACTTACCAATACAGTAGCCAGTTGTCATCTTGATTTCAAAGAGTGCAATGCTGGTTGTGTTTCCCTGTCCTAGGATGCCTTCTATTAAAATCTGCACAACACATGGGGAAGAAGGGGAGTTAGACTTCAGAATATCATGTTCCCTGTTCAGTATTTCAGTTGTTAGTCAGGAGCTGTTCAGCAGTGCAAGGCAAACAGAATTGCTAGTCTTAGCTCTTTGCTATTGGATATGAATCTCACGATGGACTTCATTAGGAGAGAGAGAGAGAGAGAGAGAGAGAGAGAGAGAGAAAGAGAGAGAACATATATATTCAGAACCTTGAGGTGGGCAAAGAATCAGCTGTTTTAATTTATCCCAACCACTACCTTCTCCAGTGCTTGTAGTAGCACCAATTGGTTGTAGATAGGACAGCTTGTGTCCCGGGGAAAATCCATTCTAAAAATAGAAATAGGGAGCAGAGGACCCAGGAAAAATTCCTTGGAGGAGAAATCCCTTGGAGGAGAAGGTGGGAAGCACAAATTTGACAGTGGTAAGAGATATCTCCACGAGACAGAGGACGCTCATACATCACTTCTAGTTTCTATACTGATGAAAAATTTTGAGTTTTTTTTTAAAACCAGGATTAAACCCAGAGGTACTCAACTAGTGAGCCACATGCCACATCCCCAGCCCTTTTTATTTTTTATTTTGAGACAGGGTCTCACTAAGTTGCTTAGGGTCTCCACTAAATTTGAGAATTTTATACAAAGAGAAAATAGAAGCATGAAAATTTAGTGAATGATTTTCAGGAATGTTACAGTTCATGTTTGGTCCTGCTTCTGAAAGTAATTGCTTTTTCTTCTGTGGTTTTAACCTGGTATTTTGTAAGTATGTGGTAGATCTGGGATTTGATAACTTTGGGAAGATAGTATGAAATAGGAAACTGGACCCCCCAGTATTGACTCCTTCCTTCAATACTGCCTGGTAGGAAGGAACTCCAAGCAGACAGAGATATGGGGGTACAGTATTTCAAAACTTTTCAAAGAAAAGGAAGGATAGCATTGGAAAGTGAAAGACAGATTAGGAATGAAGAACATTTTCATGAAGGCTTCATTGTGTCCTCGGTGATTCACTGACTACCACACTTCATGGCCAAGTGTGTCAGATTCCCCTCTACTTCCTGACTCCAGTCCACACCTGACTTCTTAACTATATGCCTTCCTTTTCCAGAACTTCATATGGAACAATTTTCTTCTTTGAAAAGGAAACAGAAGATGACTTGTAAATATCTTTCTTTTAAAGTGCTTTCATTTTTCCTTTTATCATGGTTAATGTCTTATTCAAATTTGTAGCAACTTCGCCTCTGGGAAGATAACATAAATATATACCATATACAATTTAGAAGGATGAAACAAAATGACAAGAACTAAGAATACTCCCTAAAGCCTACTGGAAAAAATCTGTTTATTGAAGAGGTTAGCTTAGACACCATTTAGTTATCATAGAAGTCTCATTTAAATAAATGGGAGGAAATCTGGAAAGAAGCTCTTTTAAGGAATAAAGAAAATATTAGTTTACATAACTACTAATCTTCCATGATATAACTAGCCTCAATGGCAGAAGTTTTATAAGATCTCATTAGCATAAAGTATATATCATAATCCCCAAATCTTTCCCCTAAATGCCACTCACCTTGAATTTCTTGGAACTGTTTGGCAAATCCAGGCTGGCTATGAGCCAGCTGTCTGAAGGTTTCTTAGCTGACCAAAGCAAGCGGTCAAAGCTTTCATCCTCGAATCTCACATAGAGGTTCAGCTGGCTGGGATGTGATGGAGGCCCTGGAGCTGCGGTTATCTGGTAGACCAAGCGGAGACAGCTCCACTCCTCTGCCTGTAAGTCAGAGCTGAGCAGCACAGCTTTCTCTCCCTGCCTGGCAAAGGAGGCATCCACATAAACATAATGGCCTGGGAAGAAAGAGGAAGACAGGCAAGGGATCAATCTTCTGTTTGCAATTTGGAAATAGACCCAACTGCTGTCCAGTAAATCTGTGGACAGATAGAGCCCGCAGATAGATGCGTTTCATCAGTTCTCTAGGAGTGCCCTGAACACAGGATCTGTGTCTGGCCTCTTGGGAAAACAGCTAGATAGTCTGGCAACACTGAGGCCACTTTCTCCCAAGATGACACCAGGCTGGAGCTTCCTGGTCTGCCTTTTCAGGGGTGGCGTATGCTCTTCATTTTGCCCTAATCCCTATCACTTCCTATTAATTCCTGACATTGAGGTCAAGTGCCTGTTGCCTTTCATGATTTCATACCACATCCACTTAGCTCATTGCGTTCACCTCCTCGGTTTCCATATGCTGTGAATGTGCAGGCTAAAGGGACATGAAGTCCAGAGGAGCAGAAGCAGGTGGAACCTCTGAGACTGGAGTTAGAATAACTTGGTGGACTCAGCCTGCTGCTTCCATAGCGCCCTTCACCCTTCATGACTTAGTTTGCATTTAACTTGAATCATTGTAGCAGACTAAAATGATTTGATAACCTCAACCTGGGTCTTGCGACCTTGGAAGGAAAAAATTCAGTGTAAGACATATATATATATGTGTGTGTGTGTGTGTGTGTGTGAGACGTTATATCGTGTAGTAACATGTTATTATTATATATGTAATTAATAGAATAATAAATATGTAACTTAATAGATAACTATTATATCATGTGTTTTTGTTATTAATATACATATATATGGGACAGAGGAGAGGGGTATGACTCCCACTCTTCATATCCCTCTCCTCTGTCCCCTCTTTCCCTCACCCTTCCTCATCTTTCCCCTTTTCTTCCTCTTTTCTGTCTTCCTCCCCTTCCCCTGTCCTTCTCCTTTCCCACTTTCTCTCTCTCTGTTCCTTTTTCCTTCTTCTTCTTCTCTTCCTCTGTCCTCCTGGCATTTTAAAGTGATAGCTTGCTAACTGCCCCAGGATACGGAACAGTATTCCTATGAAGGGGGAAAGAAGGGCATTGAAGGCTAACTTGTGTCTTCCAGTCCCCACTCTGGCCACCTGGCTTCTTATACCAGTGACGCCGTTGTCTGTGGGTCTTTGGGGGATCCCCTGCCTTTCTGGTGTGCAGACTCTCGTGTTTGCTCAGAGGTTCCCCCATTTGTGGCCAGCATTAAGCATGCTGTGCTGTTTTCTACCTTGTGGCTACCCCCACCCCCAAACTAAACTCTTACTAGAAAGGCCCTGAAATGCCTCTTTATCTCAGTGTTCTTCAGCCTCTCCTCCCATGCCCCAGGTGCTGATCCCAGCCAGGCTCCCTGCTTCTGTGGCCAGTACTGACAAGCCAGCAGCAGCTCAGTGGATGATCAGCCTCATGTGCAGGACACAGGGCTGTGTCTTCAGGGAGTCTTGATTGCCAGGCTGAAGTGCTCCAAGATGGAGTCTATCTCCAGCTTGCCATCTTCTTAACCTAGGAAACACCCACTTGATGCAAATGGCAACAGCTTCTAGTGCCAACACAAGCACCCTCTGTGGAGAAATTTAGTCCTTGCAGCCATTGCAACCACTATTGCCTCCTGTGTGCAATGAACCCTTGCTAGGAACCAGGTGCTATTCTAAGTGTGTCATACACATTTATGAACAGAGGGGCTATTGAGTTTTAAAGTACCAAGTTAGGGATTTTTTTAAAAAAAATAAACCACTTCATTGTAACATGAAAGAGTGCATAAGTGCCATCCCCCTTTCCCCACTCTTTGCTAATGTCCCAGAAGGGACTTTAAGCAAGTGTGTAGTGCAGTGGGGTGTAGGTGGGATGGGGGAGATCTAGAGAGTTCTTCAAACCTTTGCTGAGGAAGTAGAGAGTTAGGAAATGGGGTATAAAAGAGGAAAGGAACAAAGAATGTCTGTGTCCTATCCACATTCACATTAAAACCAACTTTGCTGCCCTTGAGGCCCAATTCTCCTGGGTACTTCCCCGTTTCTCATGTTTTCCCACTCTGTGTCAGTTTGCTTCTCATTGCTGTGACAAAATACCCTGAGATAAACAGCTTAATAGGGGAAGGATTTACTTTGGTTCATGGTTTCAGAGGTGTCAGTCCACAGTTGGCCATGTGGTTTCTGGGCCAGGCAGAATATCATGGAGGAGAGTTCATGGTAGAGCAGCTCTGCTCACCTTGTGGTGGCCAGGAAGCAAAGAGAAAGAGAAAGGGGCTGGGGTTCCAATACACCCCTCCAAGAGCACACCCCCAGCGACCCACTTCTTCTGACTAAAGTTTCCACCACCTCCAACAGTGCCACCAGCTAGGGACCAAGCCTTCAACACATGAACATTTCAAGGACATTCTAGATTCAAACTATAACATGCTCCTTTCTTCTTTTCCCCATTCGGAAAGGAAGCAAATCATTTTGAAGCAGTGATTCTCAAACTTGAGCTTGGCTTCACTTGGAGGGTTTGTTCAAATACAACTCGCTGTCTCTCCCCAACCCCTGTGCTTCCTATCCAGAAGGTTCGGGTGGTACTGCATTTCTCACTGATAGAATTTTTGAGAAGTGTTGATATGGGAACCACAGTTTGAGAACCACTGACTTAGAATATCTTAGACAGAAACAGGGCTCATTTTCTAGGCACCTCTTATCTATCAAAGAAAGTGAAGGCATATAAAGGAGGGAGAGAATGATTCTATTTAAAGATAAAACTCAAACATACGCAAAAGTGTTTTATAGCAGGTTTATAAAATCCATCTGTTGGTGATTATCTGAACTTTTTAGTGAGTGGCATTAAAAAAATTTGTCTCTACATTGTATTTTACTATAAGCATATGCTAATGATCTATTACCAAAAGACTTTGCAGTCATCAAAAATACAAACAATAATAAATGATGGAGAAGATGTGGAGAAAAAGGAATATTTTTACATTGCGGGTGGGATTGTAAATTAGTACGACCACTGTGGAAATCAGCATGGAGTTTCTCTGAAAAACTAGGAATGGAATCACCATATGACCCAGTTGTACAACTCCTTGGTATTTATCCTGAAGAATTAAAGGTATCTTACTACAGTGATACATACATACCCATGTTTATAGCATACAATCCACAACAGCCAATCATCTTGCCAGAATGAGTTAATAAGGTTTTCTTCATGAAATATTTCATTTATTTCATCCTAATGACATTGACACTTGGAAGTTAATTTTAGACATAATTCATACGCCATAAATTCACTCTTTTAATAGAATTCAGTGGTTTTTAGTATAAACAAAATTGTGTGATCGTCTTCACAATCTATTTCCAGAACATTTTTATCACTTCCAAACAAACCCTATATTCATTAGTAAGCAATCCTCGTTCTCTCTCTTCCCTGCAACTAGAAACCACCAATTTACTTTTTCTTTGTGAATTTGCTATTCTGGAAATTTTACGTAAATAGAATAATAAAATATGTGTTCTTTTTTGGCTGGTTTCTTTCACATAGAAAGTTTTCAACATTTATCTATGTCACATCATGTATCAGAATTTTAGTCCTTTTTCCCATCCCTGCTCCATGGTACCTGAGGATTGAACCCAGGGCCTTTACTCTAGGTAAAAGCTCTACCACTGAGCTGCACCCCCAACCCTCATAATTTCATTTTTTTTGAGACTTAAAAACATTCTACTTTTTTAGATATCATAATTTATCCATTTGGGTGCTGATGGACATTTTGGGTTGTTCCATCTTTTGGCTATTATGAATATTAATATGTGACACAAGTTTTTAGTCATTTGCCTAGGAGTGGACTTGTTAGGTCATGAAGTAACTCTGTGACCTTTCTCAAATGGTGACACCACTGACAATCCTCCAGCAATGTTTCAGTGTTCACAATTCTCCACATGTTCACCCACACTTTTCCACCTCATTCTCTTGTCATTCAGGTAGATGTAAAGTAGTATCTAATCATATTTTTTATTTGCATTTCTCTAATGATTAATAATGTAGAACATCTCTTATGTGATTATTGAATATTTGTTTATTTCCTTTGGGGAAAGGTTTATTCAGATCGTTTGTCTGTTTTTAGAACTGGGTTGTTTCTGTACTGTTGAGTTATAAGAAGTTTTATATTCTCTGGACATTAGATCTTATCACATATACTATCTACTACTGTTTCTCCCATTCCACAGTTTGTCTTTTCACCTTCTTAATCATGTCCTTTGAAATACAATTTTTTTTTTTAAATCTTGATGAAGTTCAATTTTTTGACTTTATGTTGTTCTTTTTTACTTTTGGTGTCATACCTAAGAAACTATTTTCTAATTTAAGATTATGAAAGTTAACACCTGTGTTTTCTTCTAAGAGTTTTATAGTTTTAGCTTTTATATTAGGTCCTTGATCTATTCTGAATTAATTTTTCCCCATTGAATTTTCTTGAATTGAGCACAGGTAAAGAGTTTATTTCTGGAATCTCACTTCTATTTATCCCTGTGCTAGTACCACATAGTCTTATACTCTAACTTTATAGCAAGTTTTGAAATTGGGATGAGTGTGATTTCTCATTCTTTTTCAAGATTTTTTTTTTTTTTTTTTACTATTCTAAACCCCCTGTCCTTCTTTGTGAATTTAAAACTCAGGATGGAAATAAGTTAAGTTACAATACCACAAAGCTCACTGTTTTTGCTGATCCTCAATTGTTTCTTGACTACAAACTCCTGAGTTTTACAAGCCTTTTGTTAATTTTCAGAGTTCTTTAAGAGTTACCTTCACTGTTTTTGCCTGGGTTCTCATTGTGCTCATGGGGGAAGATTTTCTGAGGTTCTTACTAAGCCAAACTGCTGACCATCATTCTCTGTCTCCATCTTTTTTTAACCAATGAGAATGGAAAACAAATGCTTCTGAGACGTTAAAGTCAGCACAAATAAATAAGAAAAGGCAACAAATGGTTGGAATCACATGGGGATTGGGTGGGTGATATGACACATGTGGCCAAAGGCCTGGGGAGA